ATCATCATCATCATCATCATCATCATCATCATCATCATCATCATCATGCGACACTCTCGTGACTAAGACCCTACGACAATCCTTATGATGTGGGCATCTATCAGAACGTGTGCGCGGTGCTTGGAAGCTCGCCCTTGGTTTGGTCAGCTTCTCAGGTTCTTGGGAGTGGTGTTCGCGTGTTCTCTTCTCGCTTTTTTTCTGAGAAAGCATCGTGTAACAACGATTTTCAGCCAGGTATTGTGACAACAAGGTTGAAATTTGAGGATTTAAAGGGACCCATGCAGAGATACAGAACATGACCAACCTGGGCTCCCGTGATGCCTAACCAGGTGGGCACCTGTGGGTGGTCCAAGTGGCAATGGCATTTTCTTTCCACGCAAAGGAGCAGAGCGTCGCAAAGCTCGAGCCGAGCGTACCTCCACGCTGGGTCGCAGAACGAAAGTGTTCCCGTCGAAGAACAGGCAGCCGAGGTAGTTATATAGTTGAAGAGTTTGGAAGCTGTGAATGGAGATGAAGGGAGTGTTTGCAGCGGAATCAACAGCTTGGCTCGATCCGGTCCACATGGCTGAATGCGACAGTGGCATGTGTTTGCGACGGGTTGCGTTCACCAGGAGTACCAGAGCACTTTGTGATTTCGGATGAGAATGAGGACATGGCCTGTGAAGATGCCGCCATCATAGATGGTCAGCAAGCCTCTGCAAGAGGAGTTATAGATAGTTATAGTATATAGAACCACAGCAAGTGTTCATTCGTTTGGGATACACTCTGACTCACATGGAAGTGAAAAATGTTCCCTCGGAAGACTACGCACTTTCCCCTAGAAACAGGTGTACTTCCATGTTAGTGTATTCCTTTGTTGTTGGAAAACTCGCCAAACTTTGCAACTTCAAATGCCCGTCCTACTATGACAGCGATGCCAGAGGCGTCTGCATGTTCGTGAGCAGAACAGTGATAAACTCTCCCTAAATAAAGGAAGTGCAGTGCAGGGAATCAAATTCAGCTTGCCTCCAACCACCCAACGAACTTCACTGGGCATGTTTTCGTTTGCTTTGTCATGCCCTCAGATATTCCTGTCCTTGTTTTAGGAGGATCCTGAAGCTGCTCATCCTGTCTCAGAAGAAGGCGAGTCGCTTCGTGGTCGCCGCCTGGCTAGCTCAGTTTTTGGCCAGTCGTGAACCCACCAACTATGACTTTTGAAACACGTCACGAAACATGTCCTAATGACCGTGTGAATGACTTTACAGGTCATTCATTGAAGCATGGTGTTGGTAGATCATGGTATATATCAGATGCCGTTTTTGCATCCGCCTGGGAGCCTTCGTTTGTTTTCGGAATTTCCATCGAAGAAGCATGGCACACTCCGAGCTTCATGGCACACGAACAGAGCCGAACCCAAGGAACTCATGCCGTGGACACCCAACACCAGTTTTGACTTCAAACACACGGCCCATGGCAGCGTGGTTCCCTGTTTCGCTTGCCTTGGGCAGAGTACAGTAGCCAAGTAGTTTTCACGTCGGCAGACTTGGCATCGCGTTGGGAGGTAGTGAAGCTGGCAGTGGACTGGAGGTGAAGGAGGACTGAAGGAAGTGCAGGAACCCATTGGAACATATGAACTTAAGGTGGGGATTCAGTGAGGCAATTCATGGCAATTCCTATCACACTGGACAGGGTTATTGGTGATCTCGCTGCTGATAAACAATCATGCAGCTCGGCAAACAATGATTAGATAATAGGAAGCACCGGATCGAAGTTGCGTTGGATACGTTGCTGGTGTCAAACAGAACAGTCCATTACATGTTCAGCAATCCTGATTTGTAAAGTAGTACTTAGCACAAGAGTGTTCAAGTGTTGCTCCTCAACACCATTCGCATGTGTACAAATTATTACAATCAATTATAGATCCAGTCGGATAAAAATTATCATGCCACGAAGATGAGTTGGAGCAGTTATGATAAATTACTATTGGACTGGTAGTCGTACTGTCATGCCGCAAGCACACACAAGGATGCCTCCTGCAACTTCTTCGTGGAAGTCTTGGGCAAGGGGTATCAGTTTGTGCAGCAAGTTGTTTTACTTGATTCAAATCCAACGCATCTATATATATATATGCATGTCTAGCACCTGCTGCATTCATCTCAAGTTCATGGTTTGTTTTGAAAGAATAAAGACTGCTCGTACAAATCCTGGAATACTGGTTCAGTTTCAATCAATGTCAGGAGTTTTTCCAAGTTTGTTAATTGCATTTCCCATGTGTTTTCCAGAATAATAACGTTGGAAGAAGCTCAAAAGCTACTGCACTCAATCAAAGTCATGTGGTATATATATTTTTCGGATTTAAGATGATTTAAGTCATATAATGTCACACATGGCATATCAAGGATCCATATGATGTAAAACATCAGTTTTTTTTAGCGGATGGGTTCTTTAACTGTTTGGTTTCTCATTTGTCGGAGGATGAGTAGACTGAGACGACCAGCTGTCCGAGGTTTGGGTGGATGCGGCTGAATTCACCGATGACCTGAAGGTGGGCTGCGAGGCGGGGAGACGTCGGACCGGTGGAGCCGGAGCCGGACCGATGTGTCCAATGTGCCCCCCCCCCATGATCCTGGATGGTTCACATCTCCAGCCTGAATGGGGGTATAGAACGCATATAGAACGCATATATGTTCCAGAAAGTTGTGCATTCTAAAATACATATATATGTTCAAGGTCCCAAGTGACTCCAAACCTGATACGTGCCGAAGAGAAGGGTACTGCTGCTGGCGCTGAGCTGGCTAAATCTTGAACATCCACGGTTTGGATGGGACGAGCCATACCACCCCCGCCCATGGAAACTCCTTGTTCAAAAGGATCTTGGAGAGCCGAATGTAGTTACACTCCCTGGAATTCATATGGAAGTTGAACATTCTCTCCTACAAAGGAAAATGATCTTCCAAAGCCGTGGCATCCACTTCCATGTTAGTTCCAGATGTTCCAGCGAGTGTAGGTGATGGAAGTTTCTTGTGTGCCTGCCAGTCTCTTCGATTGGACACCTGAGTCTTCGAGGTTAGGGTGACCGATCTTATCCATCAGTAAGGTTGCCATGCCAGTTCAAGACGGTTGCAGCCATCAATCCGTTTTTGTTGCACATGTTTTGTATTGCAACGTAGCGGGACCTGCTCAGCTTGAATTCCAGACATTGCTTAAATTATGGGAGGTGGGTGTTCACCAGTGGGAGTAATTAATGGGAAAATGCGGACAAGTGTTGATTCCGGAAAACATATACAACTTACAACGATTAGAGTAATGCGCACACCGGATTAATCAACCCTCCCCCCCCTTCAAGGTCAACAAGGTTTGGGATTGGATGGATTGGAGACAACATCCCCTTAATAAAGATGATGACCTGATGATGGATGATGGATGATGAGATGAGGACAAGATTGGGAAAGATTGGGATGATTGATTGGGATGATTAGGAAAGAGATGAAGAGATTGGAAGACAAGATTCTTTCTTTGATTGGGATGATTCGGAAAAGAAAGATGATTACGGGATGAAAGAGATGGAAACAAGATGGAGGCCAGAGGGTGGGCTTGATCAATAGGGGGAGGGGTATTAGGGGGTGGTAGGGCCTGTGTGAGGGGTACCCTTTGTGAGCTTGAAAACCTTAATATGTTGATAGAGTTTTAATAAGGAAACATTAAAACAATTTGCTAGCAAGTTTTTTGATTTTAACAGGGAAGGAAGGATGAGAAGAGCAAGCAGGATGAGAGGCAAAAGGACGTTGATAATGATATATAATGATTGATGATTGGTGGAAATTGAATACTAGCAAAGAAGAACGTAAATACATACCAAAAATATGAATACAGTTATATTGTGTTTTTTTCTGGGGGAGCTGGGCTTGATTAATAGGGGGGGGTTCTGGCAAGGAACAACAATTATCAGGGGGAGGTTGCAGGGTTTTAATTGGTTTAGTATTGGAGGCTCCAGCTGGGCTTGATTAATAGAGGGGGGTTCCTTAATCCTGTGTGCGCATTACTACATGCTTGCATCATCATGTTCGGTGCTATGAATATATTCACCAGTTGCTGTTTTTGGATTTGTACATGGAGTGCTCAATAACGTTCTGACGCAAGATGACGTGAGCATGTGCTTTAGGCGTCAAAGAAAACCAAAAAGGACAATTAAGGTTCTATTGATTCAGTCTTGCCGCAAGTGAACACGCACACACACACACATACAGTTCCATGTCCGGGTGCCGAACGAATGGAGGGGGTTTTCGGGGTGCCCCGCTGGATGAATTTCAACATCCACAACTCTGACCTAGAACTGCTCAACTCTGACCTTGGCGCAACTCTGAGGTGATCCTGGAGACCGCAGAGGATGCCTACTTGTCCGCTTGGCGCCTCCTAGCGACCCGATCGGGAATTTGGGGAGGTGATTCCATGGCTGGATGGACACTGATGGAGTTGGAACATGCACTGCGAGTGGGTGTGGGACTGTCTTTCACGGAGGAGAGATAGATAAAATATGATAAAGTGAACAATGCATTTGTGGCAATGAGGGAGTCTAGAGGCAACTATTTTACTGTTGTTCATTGAGTTCCAGGCCCGTGAGCAAGCAAAGAATCTCGAAAGGTCAGCAAAGCATGTCAAAGCTAACTTTGTCGTTTCTCGAGTGGGTTCATACAAAAAGCTACTAGTAACAAGTGCATCGCTTCTAGTAACAAGTGCCTTACTAGTAGAAACAAGAAGCTAGTAGAAACAAGAAGCTACTAGTTTGAAGACCGCTCGGAAGCAGCCAGGGGATGCCATGGGTGTTTTGCCCTGGCCCTACACGCCTTTGGTACGACAAGTAGTGGGCAAGGCCTTCGTTCGGTTGCAACGTAAAGTGCAGAACACATGTCTTGAAACCTTCGATCTGCTGAACCGAACCTTGGTCTGGATTCAGGCAATAACGATTTGCATGAGTCAAGTCTCGAACACGTGTTCCTAGACCGCGTTGACGGGGACCTGTGACAATGCCCACGTCCAAGCATAAGCGCCAACTTAATTCAGGTGAGGTTCCAACCACGAATTGATGTAGGGTTCTGACTTAAACACACTTAAACAATGTTAGGCCAACGATGCCAAAGTCTTGGGGGCAAGTATACGTAGTCTCATTAGCTTCTTGCTTCAAGGCAACATTTCTTCCAGTGGCAAGTTGACCTCTGACCCTTCCTTGGCCCTTCCGCCCTTCCGTGACATTGACGTCTTTGGTGATCGATTTGGGGCTTTGAAGCGACCTCTTCCACCGGCCGGCCCGAACGGCCCGAACTTCGATCCCAGTCGCGCTGCCGTGGGCGACCACGACGGAAGGTGGGGCGGTGATCGGACAGAAGTCGTTGAGCCGATGGGACATGGCAAGCGACGTGGTTGACGTGGTTTCTAAGACTTCGATCGGGGGTTGCTGCGAAGTGTTTGCCCTGTTTAGAATTCGTTGGATCATTTTGGGATCCCTGGGGTCACATTGGCACAGGCAAAGCGTGCAGAGCGCATGTGGAAAGTCCAAAACAGCTTCATGCCTCAGTGGTCGAGGGCTTGCCATAACTGCATTGCCGTAATATGACGTGACATATGTACAAGGCTGCTAGTTTGTCTTGTGGGAACACTGCAGGCGTTGTCTCCCCCTCAAAGCCCTCACAGAGCATGACAGTAGTTGTTTTTGACCACTTCCGGCTCTTGCAATGAGTTGGCCCCCTTCGTCGCAAAGTGAAGCAAACTAGATTGTGCCAAACATGATTTGATCTCAAAGAGGAGAATCCCTTACGCCAAGCACTCAGATCGCTCAAAGCATCAAGTCTACCCGGTGGATGCTCCGCAAGCAAAGTCTTTGGGGCATTCATTTGGGTTGCACTGGTTTCAGAGTAGACGGCACTGGCACCCCAAGAGGTCTTTTAGATGGGGTCCATACAATTGACCTTGTGGTGATTGTGCCATGTACTCTGAAACCATTGCCCTCATTGCCCACTGCGGAATGCACAGCTGGGAACGCCCCGGGCGCGGTCTCGCGTCCGATAAGACCGCCCTGCCAGTCCAAGCGCGAGCCAACGGAAGTGCAGGTGAGAGGGAACGTGCGATGCCGGAAGTGGTGAGACGATTGGAAAGTTTGCTCCAATCTGCCGTGCAAAGGACTGTATAGTAGTTTCTTGTTACTAGTAGACACTTGTTGCTAGTAGCGATGGCCTCCAGCCAAATAGCGATGGCCTCCAACCTAGTAGCTTCTTGTTACTAGTAGTAAGGCGCCTTGCTACTAGTAGCGATGCACCTTGTTCCTAGTAGCTTCTTGTTACTAGGACTGTGAGCCCGTTTCACCCTGTGAAACCATGAGAATGGTCCATGGCAGTCTATTCGGTTCTTATTTGTTGTGGTCAACCAGTGGTGTCCCGGTTTTGACCCACAGCCAAATCAACTGTTTCGACATGTTTCGACCACATGCTTTGGGATACAAATATTATATATATATATTATATAATATATATAATACTATATGCTTATCACTGATCACCGGCATTTTGCGATTGTAATTGTAGGAAACTTTATAATAGGATCTGTTCGTTGCCAACATAAATCCCGAAATGTTTTCTAGTGGTCCAAAAAAGCAGTATGTCACCAACATGGAATGAGTCTCCCAAGAGTGACGACTCGTTGGGTGCGTGTCATCCGGGCCTTCCGCCCCCAGGCGAGCGACGACTCGAGCGACTCCAAGTCCGAAGGTGGGGCCACTACGATGACGGGGAAGATGGGAAGATGGTCAAAAGCTGAAGCCCCGACCTCCCAGGTAGGTTTAATATATGTATATCCGTAGGTATCTGAAGACTCGGATGGCCCACTGTCCGAAGACGGTGGTTTTCACTCCACTTCCATGATTATTCCAGGAATTGTAGTAGGAAGAGGAGAAGGAACAAGGAACAGGAATGAACGCATATATGAACGGAAATGACATGACAAAGAAATGAAAGATATGCAAGGCAAATGACATAAGTCAAAGGACATGATGGAAATGCAAGTAAATAAGTGGAAGAAAGCGGAAGTGAATCACAGCACACAGAACGAACATGAAAACCACTGGTCAACCATGATTATATAATCTGTGCCAAAGCAGTCATTTTTTGACCCGGCGGAACTTCCCTGCAAATCCGGATCAACATGGCAGGCGGTCCCCTGCAGACGAGAAACAGGAAAGGGGAGCACAAGAGCAAGAGGCAAAGAAAAGAAGCGGAATAGGAAGATGAACAGGAAAAGCAATAATTAGGAAAGGACACGGCATATGGGGGGAAGTCGAAGTCAAATCCCTTCAGGGGACCTTCTAGAGCGCGAAGCTACCACACAAAACAGTGATATAAATAACATAACCAAGACCACTTCCGCCAGCGCGGTCCCCACTTCCCAACCCCCCAGACGGTTGGCAGGTCGGGGCACCGAATCTCGCACCACTCCCAAACAATGTAAAGGACTTGAGGAAATCTCAGCGTCCCTTCGAGTCAAGGAGTTTCCAGCAAAGGAATGTGCACGTGTTTAAATCTGGAGGGTTGGACCAGATTCATTTGAGGGGGCTGGGAATAGATTTTTGGGGGTGAAACTTTTTGTGAGTTGAAACTCTATATATATAGAGATACAGTGTATGATTATAACTAACATTATTTATATACATACATATTATATATATGTTCAAGAGGACAGAATGAATTTCTGGGTGTCGGTTTGGGATTCTTGGTGATTGTGCTTAGTCATGGAGGAATTGGAAGGTACAAGACTTATAAGATCAATTCTTGAGGTGCACGAATTGCAAGGTTTGAGAAGACAAGGGCACAGGACGAGAGATTGGTGAAATTCAAGGGATTGAAGAACGGGAAGAGGGGCGGTTACTGTTGCATGAACAAATTGGCCCAAGAAGTTGTTCCAAAACGGGCCAGAAGGCTTATGAAAGCCGGTTGGTACTGCAGGAAAAAGATTGGGCCACACTAATAGGGACATGTGTGTTTGATCATGTATGGAAATAACACCTTTGGGCGGGAGTTGGCACTTCCAAAAGGCCTTTGTTGGCTATACAGCCGTGTTGCTGTGCCATGCTGCGCCACATGTTCAGGCGAAGCCTTTTTATGTGTTTGAAGAGCAGACCGAGCAGACAGCCCGGGCGTGCGGCCAATGGCAGTCACAGCAGTCGCTGCTGGTTGGGCATGAAGTTTACTCTTGCACTCTTACAATGGTGGTATTTGAGCACTGGAACACCTTGTCTCATTGTCTCATTTTCTGCGGATTATGGCCCCCATGTACCCTGAGAACTGAACAGGGGCTTGCTTTCTCATTCAAGCCAACAGTATTCAAAAGATGTCAGGGACACTCTATAATGACCCATGTGTTTGATTCTGTTCTCTTTCACTGGTGTGATTGGTACTTACAAAACCATTGTCTTGCATATTTGCATGAGTGCCAGACAGCAATTGCGAGAGTGCGGAACGTTTCAGCACAAAAGTGATGAATTCAGCGTCATCGAAATGGGCGTTTGGCTGACTTAAAAGACGTTGGTGAACTATAAATGAGATCTGTATTAAAACAGGGAGACCTCCCAGGCGTTCTTCTCTCCCCTGAGTTTGGGAACCGGGAAATAGGCTGGCGCCTACCCAGCCAGGGGCGAGAAAGGGGTCTCCCATTAACATACACACCCAAATGAGGATGCACACTGTGCAACCATATGACACATGGAACGAGGTCCAGAAGATCTCATACACCGATGTAAACACTAAATTACACACCATACGGGTCTCATCCACAACAAAACGTGCACTCGCTTGCAACAAACATCATGCTGAATAGCACGGGCTAATTGACACAGAGAGAGGACCATTCACTACTTTGGATTTCGCGGCTTCCTTTTTTGGCTTGAAACGCAGCCATCACCGCAGCGCTGCGCTCAAACGGACGCCGTCTACTCGCCATGCGGGAGGAGTTGGTTCGTCCCGCACGGGCTCTCAGGGGCGGTCGACGTGGCTGGTGCCGCAGCCAGACTGTACTCCACGGCGACACCCGCAAAGGTGGACCAACACGTAGCAAACACACCATTTGCGAACTCCCTTCCCGAGTAAGCTAATATCTAATCTAGCCAAGCAGAGAATGGGTCGCCCGGGACAGCCCTTTCACAGAGCAAAGACCTGCAACACCCACTGTACACAGAGAGGAACCCACAAGTTTCACCTGTACACGATGACATACGATGACAGCGTAGAAAAGACAAGCACGTACCCAAAGGCGCTGTGCAAAAATGCAAAAGCGCTGAAGAGTGCAAGTACCAGGTGCCGATAAAGGCAGGACAAACAGGGCTCAAACAAGGCGCAAACCAAAAAAGCAGACCGGCGCGGTCGTCACTCAGGACACGTCGTCCAGCAACATGGCAGCCCCAAAGGAAGACTGGTGCGGTCGTCCAACACACCGTCTCACCACTCCACCGTTTGCACCCATCCGGCGGTGAATGACATGCTGATGACATGCACCCATCATCGGTGCCGCGGACCCGATCTTCGGATCCTGAGATCCTGTTCATCAAACATATGAAGCACATCGCCTGCCACGATGGAGCAACTCGGACCTTTTCCACAAAAAGTCCTTTCTTGGACCATTGGGTGTACGGACGAAAAGCGGCACACGGACTGCGGGAATACCTTCCGGGTCTTGTGCAGGAACATGAGACTGCCTCCCTTCCAAGTCCGGTTCGTCCAAAACCGGTGAAACATGGTGAAACGCTAGCGTTTCAGGGTCCCATGTCCACCAAGCGATCCTTGAAAATCCAGTTTCCAGAGCGGGTTCGTGGGTTGTTGAGGTATTGCTGCCGTGATCTGCCATGTGTTTGTTTTTGAATAGACCTATATAGATGTTCACTTGTACTCGTAGACTGCTATCATGCTATCAAGAAACCGTGTGTATGCTGGTAACCGCAAGAATATCCTAGACGAGTGCCGCACAAGAGTGTTGTCCCACCAGAGAGTATCCTAGCAAGAGTGTCTTAGCGGAGTGTGAAGCAAGAGTGTCCCGCAAGAGTGGCCTAGGATCATGTCAAACAAGAGGCTCCTAGAAGAGTGCGACGAGCCACGTACAAAGAAGGTGGTTCCACGTGCTTTAAGAAGGTGTTTCACGTGTCCGATCGTCGGAGTGTCACAGAGTCTGAGATATTCAAGTTTATTTTTGCCTTCGGATTGGTGGGCGGCTCAATTTATGGCCTGGAGAAGGCCATGTCCCAGCTGAGGGCCCGCGGTCATGACCGTCATCGCAGTCGGGTCGGGTCCTAAGTTTGCAGCCGGGTTTTCCGATGTCTTTGAGTAGCAACATGTTTTTGCACCAGATTTAGTTGGTATCTCGAAGAATTTGTAGGTACTACGCTTTACCAGTTTGTTTGATCGCGCGGCTGTGAAAGAAGGCAACATGAACTGTTTGTCCTGAATAGGCAGATGGCTGTGAGTCAAAACCTGCAGCCACCAAATATCCCGGTAGATGTTTATAGATTGACCATGAGCATGGCAGTCTCTTCGGTTCATGTTCGGTTCTTAAAACCGACGTCAATGTCCTGGTTTTCGATCCACAGCATTGGGGCTTGCGCAGCCGGGGCGCGGCGCTTCTAGCGCCTCCATACTCTCTCTCCGATCGCCACGGTGGTTCGGACCCGACTTCTGGTCACCGCAACCATGGGGCCGCTTTGGCTCTTTTGGGACCACCCAGCACAGGGGTCACGAGTTCGGAGCTTCGGGTGAATGGTGACCCCCAGAGATTCCCCGAGTATATATATATGACACTGTATGAATACCAAAAGGTCCAAAGGTATGGGTGATTGGCTTGGCTGTTGTGGGGTGGTGTGGGGTGGTCTGTTTTGGGATGCGAGGATAGTGATCATGTCCCATGTTTCATTCTGCTCTTGGGAGTGAAGATCGGGGTCCACGCGCGGCACTGCCACTGAACCTAGCATGATGGCAGAGATAGCTGAGACCAAGCCTAAAAGTCGGCGTCGGCCGAAAGTCTTCATCACAACTCCATCACGGAAATTGATGTTTTTTTGAACAATGCCATGTGTGGAAAGCAGTCCCACCTCCCATGTTTGGTTTTCCCATCCTGAGAGCCAGCTCCTTGCGACCAGGCAGCCCCTGAACCATGCGGTTTTGGTCCGATGCCCCAGCCGACCATTGTGTTGATTGAACCACCTGGGGAGAAGATGTCCAGTAAATATGCGGCAGTACATATTCTATTTGATTCTATTTGCTGCTGGGTTGAAGATGTATACGAGTTGAATTTGCTTTAATACATGAGTATTAGTTTGGAAAAGGGATGTTGGAAAAAAGCATCAATCCGAAGTGTGTGCAGATGCTTTGTCTACTGAGCAGTTTCTTTTTGTTCGTCAATTTGCCACTGTATTGCTAGCTTAAAGGAACTACTGTCCCCGAAAGCCAACAAACTACTGCGCTTGTTTGAGCCAGAACTTTAAATATCAAAATTAATGAAGTGCAGCTTAATTTTACATTGGAGCGTGTACATTCAAAATTGTCAGGCTGACAAATACATACTACTAGTATCTTCTAGTATTTAGTATATAATATAGTCAAACAGTTGGGTCCTTGACTGACTGACGATTTCTTATCTTCCCAATTTGCCAATATATTTGATGTTCCTTAAACCCTGAACACTATGTCCTATAAACATAACGTGTTTGGCTAGTTGCCAAGTTCAACCAATGTTCAACATCAGTTCTTGTGTGAATCCAAACAACCTCAAAGTTCAAATGATTATATATAAGTAAGTAGATTGAATCTTCGTCTACTTGTGATTTGCATGACAAGTTACTTCTACAATTGAATTAACTTGCAACCCCTTTTTTAGAACTAATAACTCATTTATAAGTGCACGTCTAATTTCAATCAGTTCTAACGACTCATATGGTAGGATGTGTGGGGGGTACAGGGTCTATCCATAATTAGGGAGCATTGCAGTAAGTCCATCTTGTGTACATGTTTTTCCGTGACGGTTTGACCATTACCATGAATCAAGTCTACTGTTATTATTCTTGCGGTGCATATCCGAACCCTTCTGGCTGAGGAGCTGGCTAGCCATCGACGGGCGTCGTGGCCAAAAGGAAAACGCCGGAAGAAGTCCAAAGCAGCTCCTCAACTGAATTTTGGCACTGGATGGTTTAGTTGGGATGAACTCGAAACAGATGGAGGGACAATCAGGGACTACTCCCCTGCACATACCACACGGAGCCCTAAAACCACTGTGTTGGAGAGGAACATGGTCCAAACCACGGCAGAATTCCCAGGGCCCATGTGTTAAACGATCTGCGGTTGATGCAGCATTTGCATCATCTGCTCGACACTAGGGAGGTCATGCAGAGGGGGACTCGGTTGGCAACGCTGTAGGAAACAACTGACTGTCAACGCAGAGAGCCCAACCTTATTTTTGTGGTGACAGACAAGGACATGGTCGGGAAAAACACGTCGCTTGGACATATATAGAATATAGATGAGACCTGGCATGTTGTAGCACCTTCTGTGACTCATGGCCGTTGTTGTAGCACCTCACCCTCGAAACCGCCGTTGGCCGTTGGCACTGTCCACGCCGAGGTGAGGTCCGGTTGGCCCCATTTGCCTCACGTTTTGTCCACCGGACCGGCCTCCAAGGTGCGCTGGTCTTTGCGCTGGACCCCGCGCTGGCGCGTGTTTCGACAGACCGTGCGGGCGCTCGGCGAGCGAGCGGCGAGCGAGCGACGGAGTTGGCTCAGTCGATCTGACCGGACGGGAGGAAAGCGGGATGAGCAGCCTCACATGGTTTCGTTGAAATTTTAGGTTGGCTTCAAGTGCAAGTCCAACAACAAGTGGTTTTTGGATGTTTTTGGACAACCCGAAAAGCATCTATTTCAAGAGACTAGTTATTTATAGACATCCCATAGAGTGGGGTCCTGGGAGTGGAATTTCATATTTTTCTTGTAAGCAGAACGATGTTTTCTTTTTCCCATACTGTCCATGCGATCCACTTCAAATTCCACTTCATTGAGTGATTGAAGTGGAGTGTATGAATCACCTAGCCAGGTGTGGATGTCGAATGATCCTTTGGGTTGGGCGTGAAGAAGGATTGCTGTACAGGACCTTCTAGGATAACCTCGGTATGTTGCCAATAAGTAGCAGCAAATACAACCTTTGAGTATGTTTTCCGATCCAAAATCCTTGGCGACCCTAAACCAACATCTCACAGAAGAGACAAGTGGCGATGTTAGGGTCTTTTGGCTGCCTTAGCCTTTTCACAGAGTCGAAGTTTGCCTTTGGTGGTCCAAGTTGCAAAACAGAGGCTAGATAGCTGATATATATATATATATTATATATGCTGATATGCATTGATATATGCCTCGAGTTTGTAGCTAGGGGCCATGTAACCATCATTAATGGATACACTATACTGATACTTGCTTGGAAACTTGCTGATAGACACGGATGGAAAACACAGCTGGCATTTCGTGATCATGGTGCCGTACATGCTCAGCACTTTATGTCTTAAACTCAGGGCCTTGTAAGTGGAGTGAGGTCTGTGATTGAGTGTCATATAATATTGTTGCAGCCGCACGAACTGGTTTGTTCCAAAAAGTCTACTTTGATTGATAGAGGATTGCTAGGTCATACATCATGGTTTGGCACTCTGTGCACGTTTCTTGGATGGGTGGCTTCGTTGTGGTTGGTGTTGTAGGAGCTGCAGCTTCTTCTGCCGTTGGCCATGGAGTTTGTTAATCGCACTGTTGTTGTAGTCGTAATGGTGTGCTAAGGGTTTGCCTTCCTTGTGCTTGCCTTTCAGAAATGCACAGTGTTTGACTTTTGCAGCTTTGTGTTTGTGTGCGTGCCCACAAACGGATGCATACTGGAAGCGTGAATTACAAGTGCCTTGGGGTAATTACCAAGATTGAGGCCTACCCTTCGCTGGTTGCCTGCAAACCGGATACGCACATGGATATATTCTCCCGGCACATGGGCATATTTACCGATCAGTTGGGGTGTTTTTTTTTTGTTGGGGTAGCCCTACGTCAGTCCCCTGGAGTGTTTGGAACCTCCTGAGGTAGGACCACCTGCGCTCGCGACCTCTCAGGATGCTTTTACCGGGCAGAATCTGCGGGAGCGGGTGCGACGTCCTGGACGGTGCGTCGTGAGGCTTCAGATCAATGACCGCAGGTGATTGGTTGGCGGCCCCCCATCTCCCATGTGGAGCAGGAAAGTTGATTTCATGTCTTTTGCACTTCAGTGAGCCAAGAAATGGGGATCAAGTGTTCATGGGAATTGTGCCTTAAGCATTAGAGTATCGTTCTCATGGCTGCAAGTAAGTGGCTGAGTACGAGTACGAGCTTTGGCCACTTTGGCTTGGTGCGAGCTTTGGCTTGGATCCTATGCTTAGGCTCTGGTAGAACACACACTTTCCACACCACATGCTTGGAAGAACCTGACAATAGGAACAAGGAGTCAAGGAGCTACTAAGAACATCTAAGAACAAAGGACATCGCTACGAACGGAGAAAGGAGGCTACTAGGGTCGCTCCTTGCCTTACTACCAGTAACAAGAGGACGCTACTAGGAAAAGTAAATTGGCCTCACGAGTTTGTGAAAGAAGATGCCGTCGGGACTTCGGGAAGGAGTTACATGATCGAACGCGTGGTATTTGTTTCGACCATTTGATCTTATGCAGTGGGCACTGCAAGACAACAAGGAGAAAGAATGCAAGACAACCCATGCCATTATACAGTTGAAGATTTCAATCTCAACATGTCTCCCAACGCACAGAATGGAAAAGTGCCTTTGCACGTCCAAACGCCAGAACGTCACCAGGGGATGTTCTTTGCTGAGGTTCGCTTGCCCATAGGCTTAGAGGCTTGGGAGGACCTTGGAGTTGACATCAAGAATTGTTGCAAATTAATGCCAGAATGATTCAGTTTGAACATCCAGCTTCTGAGCATCTCTGGACATGGTAAAGCTGAAAGGTTTTGTTAGTATCTACTTGAAGTGTGTCCTCTAAATATATCTATTCCACCCATCAGCGAATGCAGGCTGCAGTGATATCATGATGTATCATGATCTCATGTCATCGCCAGGCGGATGCAGGTCTCGGGTCCAGGTTTCGCGGCGGTCACGTGTTGCGGTCCATGCGGCTTTCACCCGCGGTTTGACGGTCACTCCGTTGACTCGGTTGTGCAGGCAGGTCCAGCATTGATGCTCTACAAGGCTCAATGTGAGGCGCTGCCCGCGGTCGCGCGAGTGTGGATGCCGGGCACCCGGCGAAGTAGTAGCAAGAAGCTACTAGTAGCTATTTGCTACTAGTAATGCCCTTGATACTATAGTAGTTAGTGATGCACCTGCAGTTGTTACTAAACGTGATGCACTTGTTACTACTCAGCTTTGGTTTGAGCACTCTGCTTTTTCTGTTTTTCACGTGTGCTGAAGACGATTCGTTTGTTGAACTCGTGATGCTCAAATTACTCATTACGTACTGTAGGTCTTGCACTTACAGCAGCACTCAGCTGAAGAACTATGAAAGAACCGATGGACAATGGCCATCATGTGCTAATATGTTCTCGGACGCTTGGTGAGGAAAGGCTTGTTGGCTCCAAGAACGCACAGCAGAACTCTGTGGTATTCAGACTTCCATATGGGTGCAAATTAATCCCGAGTGCCCCAATTATACCAGCATAGACCACAAACAGTTTCAATACGATTCGTTGGGACCACTATTAGTCAAAAACGATTTCTTGGTACGCCCTACCTCCTCCCCCTAGAGCAAATTGCTTTATCAATGACTTTTGTCGGCATCGACATCGCTAATTGTTCGGCCATAAGAGAAGACAAGAGAACAGGAGGACAAGACCCGGTCACAGAGCCCGGTCACAGAGTTCAGGGGCGCGGCCAGTCAGTGTGTCCAGGGCTGGTCAGCGCGGCCAGAGGACAAGAGAAGGACAAGAGGAGGGCAAGACCCGGCCACAGAGCCCGGCCACAGAGCGCGGCCACAGAGCCCGGCCACAGAGTTCAGGGGCGCGGCCAGTCAGTGTGGCCAGCTATTTTTTTCTAAGGTGGAACCCCAACAGGAAACTGTTTGGGAACAAGATGGGGACAAGACCCGGACACAGAGCCGGCCACAGAGTTCAGGGGCGCGAGGTGTCCTAGGACAAGACCCGGACACAGAGCCGGCCACAGAGCCCAGCCACAGTGTTCATGGGCGCGGAGGACAAAGAGGAGCTCAAGAGGAGGACAAGACCTGGACACAGAGTTCAGGGGCGCGGCCAAGACAAGGACAAGAGGAGGACAAGACCCGGACACAGCCGGGCCACAGAGCCCAGCCACAGAGTTCAGGGGCGCGGCCAGTGAGTGTGGCCAGCTCTTTTTCTCTAAGATAGAACCCCAACAGTAAACTGTTTGGTGAAAAACATACACAGTAAAAAGCAATCGCATCTCGGAGACCCAGGATTTTTTGTCTTAATGTGTTTGGTCTCTATTTAACCGCCTTCTTAAACTACTAGTAAGCTACAAACATCGGTCATTTTGCTGGAGTCTGCCCACCCACTAGAATCGCCACCAATCATCCCGCACACCAACGAAGCGACGCCTCAAAGGACACACACGCATGTTGAGCGATACCCACAAACATGGCACGGAGGCAGTTACGCAGAAAAAACGCACTTTCCACCGAGGCGCAGCGGTGACAGTTGCTACAGTAGTTTGGACAGCCACTACCTTTTGCGAAGAAGATCGAAGAATCGCCACCTCGCCGCCAACCTATAAGCGACTTGTCGGTTCCTCGCTGCCAACCTCGTTTGCCTTAGCTGACTCCTACTGGCTGAAACCCTGGTTCCTAAATGGATTCTATATTTGATGCCTCCCACTTTGGGGACCCCCTATGAACAAAAACGAAGCCGGATTTTTTTATTCGAGGGGGAGGCGTGACTTTCAATAGGTGGAAGGGATTACAATAGGGCCTCGGGAGGTCCCGGCCTAGACCCTTCTGGGCAAAGGAAAATCGACCACAGCCCATTGGTGGGGGGTCCCCCAGTATACATTAATATATTAGAGTTCCATGTAGTTTTCAGTTCCTGGACAGCTGTTGAGATGGAACGCCCCCCCGCCCGGTGTAGGCGTTGACCTCCTTTGGTGCCCTGGTTTTGGGTGCTGGCCATGGACAGCGCTCTGGAACCGTGTGCATCCGAGAGGCGATTTGTTTCTGGATAAAATCAATCGCGAGGATGCAAAAAACAACAACTTTGGAGTGTTCGCCCGCTCTGGGTGATTTTAGTCTACCCACAAACCTGGAGTATCAACATGTTGATTTATGATGATTTGTTTTCAATTTTGTTTTTTTTTCACAGTTCTTGACGGTGAAAGGGGGACATGATCCAGAACAAATACTTGCAGTCCCTCCGCAGTTTGGTCTCCTTTTCGAGTCCCATAAGCACCAAATGGTCTTATCAATTGAGGCAACCACGGCTGGTAGCATAGATTTGCAACATAAGACCGCCCCCTTTGGAGGTCCCTCCTCGCCCTGTGGTTCTCCAGACATCAGACAGCGGTCTGGGCTGCCGAGCCAACTTGGTCACAGGTGAAGTTCTTCGAGTAAAACGTCGTGTTCTTTGCTACGCGAACGCAGGAAACAGTTTGACCATCCCCCAGTTGTGCAAATTTTAAGCAACACATACAAGGAGTCCGATGCTGAAATGCCTGTTCAGGACGAGATAGAAACAGTGAAAACATATGAAAGTTGAAATCCGTTTAGACCGGATAACTATATGCTGGTCCTTTGTCCAAACCAGTCATGGTCAGTTGCAATTTAACGGTGTATGATTGTGTACCTTTTTCTACTGGGCTATGCTGCCCGAGTTTGTTTTGCCCCAAAAGCAGACGTGACACAGGCTCCGTCAGAAGAGTTCTTTCATGCGAAGGCGGGTCATCTGAGACCACCTGAAGGGGGAAGAGGTGGTGCTGCAAGACGGGGACATGGTTTGAGAGTATATTGTCAAGGATTGATCTGCCCGTGGTGGTTTAGGAGACATGTCTCCTGCGTTCGTGGGACTCCGTGTTATTTTGGTTTGAACACCAAAGCCAAGAATTTGCACCGTTTGCACCTGAGCAGAGCGAACACACGACCGTAGGTGCGACTTGCAATTAACTAAGGTCAAGCGGGCATTCCAAAATTGGCAGTCATAAACCATATTGTCACTCGGACACTGGTGCGGAAGTGCAGGGGACCGAGTGGAGGCTCGAAACTCACGAAGTTCTCGAACACGAAATGTCGGGCGGCACGCGAAGTCGCGCCCTTTTCACAATGCCATTGGCGTCAGGATCGATCGCCCACCGCTAGTGGTGGAAACATGGGACATTCGGGCCGTCATGGCCACACATGAAACATATGAAACATCCATACTGTCAAGTGGCTTGAAATGCCATCAGCAATTTCACACCGGTAAAAGGTGCTTGAGACAAAAAAAACTCATCAGCTGTACTCTCAGTCGATCATCCACTCCTCGTATGACAGGTTGCCATAGTCGCGCCTCCAGGATATCATGTCTTCCTGGAGGGTGGTGCCGCTCAAGCCATTGACTCGGTGAGGAGTCTGAGGAGTAGGGTTGCAAAAAGCGCAACAAGGACGTCGATCAACTCTGTGAGCCTGCTTCAGGCCGTGGCAATCAGCTCGGACGTGGAAGGTGTGACCGAAGGGCGTCACATGGGTGCCCGTGGTGAGAGGGCAGTCTTCATCAAAATGGTCCAGGAGTTCCCGGTAGCAGCGCGACAGCAAAGCCTGACATTGTCGAAAGGAATGGTCGACTTCTTCGGCTTCTTGCTGTTCTAGGCGCCATTGTTCCATCATCTCGTTGTGATGCCGGCGGGTTTCCGCATTGGCCTCAGCAGCCTTCACCAAATCGTTTTCCAGCTGGGAGATGCGGCGGTCGAAGAACAGGCATTGGTCATCCAACGCACTGTCGAAGTGTCGTTCATTTCGAGCTTGGGCCACCCTCAACTTGACCTTCAGGTCGTTCACCTGTCGGCGGTGCTCATGAAATCTGCCCAGCTTGTAGGTCAGGTAGCTCACAACGAGGGTGGTGAAGAGGATGAAGAGGAACAAATAGGTCAAAATGGACCATTCCTCAGCAGGCTCATCGCCAGCCAAACAAAGATCGTCTGGCTTCAACTGCGTGAAGTCACCTGTGGACTCTGCCGTAACAGCCTTGATCTGTGTGAAGTAGATCATCATTGCCATAGGGGTTCTCAAGGACTTGGAACTCGGCCATGATGTAGGTCCAGTGTCGGCGGCTTCATCCTGCAAGACATCCTCATCCTCGAAGCTCGACTCTTCCTGCACACTTTCAAGGTGTTCGGTGGAGTTGAGGTGGTGTTGTTGTGGTTTGTGCTGTTTCGTGTTGGTCTTCTTCTTCACTTTTGCGTCAGCGAACTCTTGCCGACTTTCTTCGCGTTCTTGTTTGCTCTTTTTCTTGGCCGAGGTGTACTGAGGATCCCAGGCCAGCTTGATGCGGTGTCGCCTCAAGCGATCAGCCAGCAGGCTTCTTGTAGAGCTCTTTGTCAAACCATCAGCGAATTGTCTTTCGCTGCTGACCCATTTCAGACAACCTTCGAGGTCAGTTGTCTGCTGCTTAGCCACCTTGATCTCGAGGTAGGTGCGCTTGTCCACTGAAGAACTTGCGGAGGTGGTGGTCTCCTTATGCCATGCATCGTAGAGAGCTTTTGCGTCGGTGACCAAGGTAGGTCGTAGGGCTGAACCTTCTTGTAGTCGCTCACGAAGCTTGGGCTTTGGGTCAAAAATGATTGACCAGAACCTGCAGATGTATTCGGCACTGTCACTGGCGCCACCAGCTGCTTGAGCCTCTGCACTCAAACTGGAACGTGCGACTCGGGGCAGTTTGTAGCTGCGCCAATCAACCACATGGTATGGGGTCTCCTTTTCAAAGACCTCTTCAGGGACCAGGATCGCCAGGTGTCCTCCTTGAGAGGTGTAGTCCTCCCGGGCTGCATGAGAGGCATCAAACATCACCACCAGGCGGATCTTAGAGAGGTCGGAGTGGTTGCTGACAGATTCAAATGGTTCATACTTCAGGGTCACATCTGCTTGTTCCTTGGCGAACTTGAGAAGGGCATTTGCTTCCATGATTGCACGAAGCTTACCAGTGCGCTGTTGTCCACTGATCAAACTGCAGCTAGCCTGTAGATGAGGTTGTGACTGGACTGAGGGCCATTGCAAACTTCCGAGGAGGGCTCGTAGCTGTCCTCGATCATGTTCATTCATCGGATCTTCAGGGCCACGTCCTCGATGAACAGTCACAGGTTTCACTTTGTGCAAGAAGTGGCTTTGTGACAGGTTCCAGGTGAAGTCTTTTCGGTTGTGGATCACACCGCAATACTCCATGGATTCATGATCTTCTTGCCAACTTCTAAACTCAAAAACTTCCTTCAGGCGTCGTTCAGCTGCAATGTAGGTGGCACAGCCGCGGTCACCAGCTCCAAGCATGTCGTCCACGTGAAGTGCTATCAGGCCACAAGGAACAGAGGAGCCATCTTCATGATGATGATGAAGTACAAAAAGACATGGATCAAGGTCATGTGGTGTCCACCCTTCCTGTGTCAGCCTTCTCGTGGCTTCTTGCCACCAACGACGAGGGGCGTCCAACTGTCCGTAGACGGGCTTGATCAAAGCCATGCGGGTTTCAGGACCGCAACCAAGGATGTGGAGGCAATCATTTGGAAGTCGGAGCCACAGCTGCCTCTGTTGAGGTAGTCCTTGAAGAAATGCTGTGGCCACGTCGGCGGACCATCCACTCCATCTCAACATGGCAGAGATGGAGAGTAGCAGGTTGCGAGCCAATCTGGATGCCGTAGGCGATTGGGTGTCCAAATTGCCAGCTAAGGCATCGGCATCATTGTAACCACGAACAACCAATCGGGCCTTAGCCCTGGGAGTGCCATCAGGATTCTTCGCCCATTTCAGCAGCATTCGGCTGGACAGGGTTCGATCTGCTTCAGCCTTGTCTGAGGTAGTGAATTCCCAGACGCCACATTCGAAGAAGCTACGAAGCTCTTTGCACTTGGCCTCGAAGAACAGCTGTTGTTCTGCTTGTGTGAGGTTCTTTTCTTTGATTTCCGACTTGCTTTTCTCTTTCTTGATGTGTCGGAGCTGCTGGTTCTTCATGTGCTGAGCGGCCTTTCGGATGGGCTTCACGGATGTGGGAGAGCTAGAGGACAAGGTTGCAGTCATTCCAAGTTCCATGCGAGTCACGGCATTGATCTGAAAGATCGTGCATCCAACCCACTTTGGAGGTAAACCTTTGGCGGCTTCTTTGGAGTGTCTCTTGAACACGTTCTCCGTCTTGAAGTGGTCGGTGGTCGCCGAAGGTTCTTGTCCTGGCTCACGAAAGATGGTGACTCTGACATCATCAAGTTTCTCCAAGGGCACTGGAAGATCAGCCTGATCGCCTGGAAGAAATTTCTTTGACCGTGGTCGTACGTGATGGCGAATAAGGCATCCACCCTTGACTTCCCAGAAGTCAGCTAACTTTTGTTTGAGCTCCAGGGAGTTGTTGTTCTTGTTAAAGGTCCAGCCATGAGGAAGGTTGGCCGTGTCAATGTCCTGGACTTCAAACACCATTTCACCAGTTTCGTGAGGAGGCCTTGCGTAAGGGCTTGGTTGCTCATGATGCCGTGGTCGTCTTGGACCAAAGGACAGGGTTTCCTGCTTGTCAAGTCGAAGTCGTTGCTGTTCGAAGGTCTCAGGGGCAACTGGAGTCCTGTAGGCCTCTAACGTCACCGGGTCAAGGTTCATCGGAGTTGCAGGAACACTTGGAGGCTCAGGCTCAATCGAAGGTTCCGGCTGATCGGACATCTCATCCAGGTGTTCAGGAACAGCCGGTAAAAGGTGTTCTGGTACTGCTGGATGTTCTGGAGGTTCAGGAGCCGTGGAGGCAGCAGGAGCAGCGGCTGGGAAAGATGGATTTCCCGGAGTGTCAACTTCATCCGTAGGTTCCGCTGGCTCTGAGGGAGTGTAGTCCTCCAGGGAGTCATCGATTGCTGCGTCGAGTCGGCGACGTTTCTGATCTGGGCCTTCATCCGGAGACATCTCTTCTTCATGTTCTTCAACATCTAGCAAGTCTTGCTTGTTGGCCCTGCTCAGATCGAGAAACCTGGTCACGCCTCTTGACTTCAGTGACTGAAGTGTAGATGCAGCATCTTTCAAGTTCTCGACAGCGGTCTCTTCGATGGCAGTGAAGTCTGGTCGAACGTGATGTGGTGCAGCTCGAATGAGTTGTGTCTTGTGAGCCAACCAATACACATGAGGGCTGCCGTCTTTTTCCTCGACACAGACGACCTTTGCCGGTCCGCGCCATCGAATCTTGCACAGCTCATGTTGTTGTGCATCTCGCCAGTAGAAGCATCTTTGGCCAGCTAGCAACCGTTGATTGACGCCAGAGTAGCGTCGGAGGAGAGCTCGTCTCAGCTTCCGATCAGTTTCCGCCTGGAGGATTGCAGTCTTGGCCACATTGCGTTGGTGCAAATGCTTCTCGAAGGTCTCGCGTTCGTGCAGGGCGCAAGAACTGGACTGCAGTAGACCAGGTTGAGCAGGTTGATAGCCAAGAACCCATTGAGTCGGCGAGAATCCTGCAACTGTGGGCTGAGCATTGAGTTGAGGCAAGATGTAAGTCAAAGCTTGGCGAATGCCTTCTCTTCCTTCCAACTTCAGGTCGTGCATGTAGACCTCAATGGCCTTTCTCAAGACTGCATGCCTTCGTTCAACTTGGCCAAGTCGTTGGTGTGCTTCACCAGGAGCAACTTTATGGCTGATGCTGTGGCTGTCAGACCACTCCATGAACTCATTGCTAAGCCAGCCGCGACCTTCATCAGTCACCAACTCTTCTGGGACACCGAAATGAGCAATCCAATGTCGCTCAAGAGAAAGGATGTAGTCCTGGGTCTGCTCGGTCTGGACCTGACATGCTGTCTGGTACTTCGTAGCACTATCCAAGATGGCCATGATCGGCCACTTCTTCTTGTCGGTGCGAATCCAGAAGACATCAGCTTGGATGGACTGATTGAAGCGGTCGGCCTTCTGCACGTTGGCTGGTGCAGGTTGATTTGGTTTCTTGTAGCGCAAACATGAGCTGCAGAGGTAGTTCTCAGCCACGGCCAAAACATCAGTCGACGCGCCTCTGGCTTAAGGAGATCGACCAGGGCTTGAGCAGAAGGATGACCAAGGTTTCGGTGGAGCTTCTGAACAACTCGTAGAGCATTCTGCTTGCCTTCTGCGTGAAGATCAACGATCTTGCCCAGGTATTGCGACTGCTCACGAACCGCGAAGGAGCCTTCCCAGAGTTGAGGCTTCTCTGAACAGGCCAATGAAGTAGCCAGTGTGGATGCGAAGGCGGGCTGGTACTCCTCCATGAATGAGGTTCGATGAGTGCCATGTCCCTTCATGTAGCCTTCAAGTCGACAATGTTCATGATCACCTGAGCATAGCCGGTTCATCGTTTCTGCAATGGAGCGCTTGGTCGTGAGAATGGTGGTGTCTTTTCTTGCTGGCTTCCATGCTCCATCAACATCCATGCACATAGCACCATACTGACATTGATGATGTCGTGCTCGATAGCCAGGCAAGGAGTGAAGCGCTGCTGTGTCCCAAGACAATGCAGAAGTTGGCTGCTCAATGTGTCCATGTCGTCCTGAGTGCAACTGCTTCAAATAGACTCGCTTGCAGAACTGAAGGTGGGTCCTGTGGTGCCATTCTCGAAGACCTCGAAGTACTTCTTTTCTCTGCTCAGAGGTTGCAGAGATGTTCTGCATGCGTGACCATGGACCGCAGCTGGGAGACAGGTAGATCTCGTCCGGCATCTCTTGATCTTGTAGTTCCAGGAAGGCGCGTTGATGCGACTGAAGCGCGAAGTTCCATCCTGTCTCAAAGCCGAACGTTTTGACGGTCATGCCAATTGCTTCAGCCACCTGCGACAATCGAGCTCTTCCGGTATAGACTTCCCATAGGACACGAGGAGGAGCTTGATGTTCTTGTCTGATGGCCTCATCAACCAAGGTGTTCATCGATTTCAGCTGAGCTTGGGTGTGCATGATCAAGGTCTTCCAGTGCTTGGTGGTCATGGGGGACGTGTCCTCTGGTGGCATCTGTTCTTCAACTTGGTAGAGGTGCTCTTCCATCAAGAAGTCTTCCATAGAGCCAGGGTCGCCCAGTTTCTCATCAAGCTGAAGGTCGAAGGAGGGTTCCCACGTCAGCTGCTCGGTCTCAAACGAGGACGTGAGGTCAAGGAGGTACTCCTCGTGGCGACCGAGAACTGCATCTTGCCAGTCAGCGTCACCAAACTTGACTTTCTGCTGGGAGAAGTCGATGGTCATGTCCAAGGCGCGAATCACGGGTCTTCCAACCAACATAGGAGTTTCACCAGACAAGACGAAGCCTTGGATCAGTCCATGTTGTCCATTCAGGTAGACTGGCACTTTGGCTACCCAAGAACTGACCTTCTGGTGGTCACCCCCGAAGTGAAAAACTCGATGGCAACGCTGCAGTTGGAGCTTGTCAGTGTCATAGCCCAATTGCCGGAGGTGCTTGACATAGCGGACCAAGGGACCTGATCCCATCAAGAACGATGAAGCGCCAGGATCCAACATAGCACAGTCGGGGCGTTCGTGGCCAAAGGAGTCCTCGAGCATAACCAAGGTCGTTTCGTCTTGCATGATGGCCATTCCTTCAACTGCTTGGCGCTTGCCGCTTGTCGTAGTTGCCGGTTTAGGCGTAGAGCTCGTCTGTGCGCATTGAGCTGTCTTGTGGAACGTTGAACCACATCGCATACATGCTGGAGCCATTGCTGCACGAGCTCGTCCTTTTGGATCTGCAGGCTTTCCAGGAGGTCGGTCATAGCGATAGGTGCTGCTCTTTCCTTTTCCTTTGCCTTTTCCTTTCTTCCCTTTTCCCATGCCTTTGAAAGGCTTTTGCGAGGAGGTGGAACTCGATGAAGGGCCGGAGTCCTGGAGAGCCACCACAGGAAGGAATCCTCTGCTGAGCTTCAAATCATTGAAGCGTTTGCGAGCATCAACGTATGAAGCATATGCCTCATCGTACTCCTCGGTGTCAAACTCATGCTCGTGTTCATCAGGTTCCTCCTGGTAGTAGGCGGCATCGGCATCGAATGACTCCCACCACTGGTCATCATAGTTCTCTTCATCATCCATGTAGTAGGCATTATCTTCCTCCTCATAGGTCGGGGCGTTGTCATCCCATTCGAAAAAGGGTTCGGAGTCATCGCCAGCAAAGTATGAACGGCTCTTGCCGGATCCAGCACGGTTCCAGCGGTCTCTGAGGAGCTGACCGCCACCTTTGTAGTCTTGGCCGAGGATGGCAAACATCGCTTGCTGGATCTTAGCTCGTTCAAGTGAGGCGGCCTGTGTCATGATCATCTGCTTTTGCTCACGTGTCAGGGCGGCCTTAGTCAGGAGGAACCACCCTTGGATTTGTGTCGGTAGTCGAACACCATGCTTCTCGATTTGCTTCAGCCGGTCATCGTGGTCCGTCACATAGTTCAACAAGGTCTGACCTGGCTTGCGAGCCAAATGCTCAAAGTAGGACGAGAAGTCGGCAGGCATCTCGACATTGGCGTCATACTGGAAGGAACCGTCCAAGATCTTCAAGATCTCTTGGAGAGCTTCTGGGTCTTCTGCCTTATCCAGGTTGAAGTCTTCGCACAACTTCCACGCTGTTCCTGAGAGGCTGCCCAGCAGGTTCAAGATCGCTTCGCCCTGCCGTTTTGACAGGGACATTTTTCTGTAGTAGATCAAGATTCTTTTCCGCCATTCGCGGTATCCCGTTAGGGAGCCATCGAAGAGCGGGATGAAACTATCCCGGGCCGAGTGGTTGTCGAACTCGACCTTCTTTTCCGTGGTCGTGGTAGAAGCCATACTTCAGGTTGAAGGAGGTGTCACCACAAGTGCTGTAGAGCTCGTCAGGGTCAAAGAGCTCTGGTGGGAGCGAGTGCGGTAGAACTCAGCAAGGTCAAAGAGCTCTGGTGTAAGCACTGCTCCTGAGCGTGAAGAAGATGACAAGGTTGTTGGTGCAGTTTCCGTGGAAGGTGAAGTGGGCTTTGAAGGTGGATATGATGTAGTGTTGCGGAGATCGGCAGGGAGCTACCCGGAGCGTGGTAGCTCCGCTACCAATGTCACTCGGACACTGGTGCGGAAGTGCAGGGGACCGAGTGGAGGCTCGAAACTCACGAAGTTCTCGAACACGAAATGTCGGGCGGCACGCGAAGTCGCGCCCTTTTCACAATGCCATTGGCGTCAGGATCGATCGCCCACCGCTAGTGGTGGAAACATGGGACATTCGGGCCGTCATGGCCACACATGAAACATATGAAACATCCATACTGTCAAGTGGCTTGAAATGCCATCAGCAATTTCACACATATAAATTTGGCATCGGGAGGATTCGAGAAGCATGTTTTCTCCTCTCACTTGTTTTGCATGCCCTTCACAAAGACTGGAGTTTTGTGCCGTTCGACTTGCCTCAGATGCCCTTGCCGGGAGCGTGGCTGTGCATGCCATCCAGTCAACCAGTTATTGCTGAGGCTGGGCCCCCTCCTCGGTTTTTGCCACGCCGAAACTGCTTGGTCGGCCGGTCGCATCGGTTGGGGCGGGATTCCAAGCCATGTGAACCGATCTCCAGGAAGCGGGTTGCTCTGCATGCAGTGCCTTGGCGAAGGAGCTTTGCTGTCTGTGCGCGTGTGTGTCTGTGTGTGTTTCAAAGAACAAACATCACGATTATTCAGATCTTCGATGTAAAGACCTGCCGCTTCGACCTGCCTCTTCTGTGTTCACGCCCGATCGATGTCCTTCTAAGGAGGACGGACCCGGCCAAACCGGGGGACGAGGTTTGGGTCTCGAAGCGGAAGGGTCTGAGTACTTACTGAGGCAGCGGAAGGCATTTGAGGATTACTCTTGGAGGGAGACAGGGTTCAGTCACCAGTGGGTGGGGAGAGCTGGAATAAGCCCTTTCGAAGACGAGGGAATCCCTACCAAAAAGTCACGTGCGCATCCGTGTAATTACTGCATATTTATCCAGATGATTCATGCCTTTTTCTGGGATTGCTAACGATCATCTCATTTGTTTCGGGAATCAACACCAAAAGAACACGGTTATCACTCTAAACCCAAGACTTCGCTTCCGGTGACCATGAACACCCGAGACGTTTCCGTTGAGGTGTCATTGTCGTCACATCTCAAGACGAGTTTGACGAGACCTCCTACACAGATCCCGAAGTCGACGTCTCTACTGTCTAGCTGGCCGAGTTGTTGACCATTTTTGCGACTTTCAGAGGCAAGCTGTCTTGGATGTGTGATTATGTGTGTGTGTGTGTTTTAGAATGTTTTAGAAAACAACACTACAATACACTACAGCCCTCTTCCACTTAGTATTGGTCTTGCCACAGTTTGCACAAGTTTGCATGATGTTTGGGTCGGGTGTGCCAGTTGGGCAATGGCCGGAAATCGGCTACACATGCACTTTTGAGGAGTGCGGCCACCCAGCGAAACTGGGAACTGAAGACGGCATGAAATGGCAGAAATCGAACAAGTAGCAAGAATTATCCTAACAAAAAACAAGAGCCAGGGAAAGTGAAGCGGCCAGTCGCTGTTTCAAGAAGATGTCCCAAAACAACCGAAAACTCATTGGCAGTCGCGGCGGTCAGTGAGATGAATTTGGTTGCTCGGGGACCATGATCAGATTGAAGGAGGAGGTCTCCAGCATCTCAACCGATGGGCAGAGAGAGAAAATATGGTCCAATCTGAACCACTGCCTTGGCCCAGCATCGATTTGACCCCTGCGTAGTTTTTTACGGCGGCTACGATGTAAATAGCACCAAAAGATACCAAAAGTGCATTTCAAGTGAGTGTTAAAAAGAATAAATATAACTAGAAAGGCCTAATGTAAATGTGATGGTTTCATGTGGTCCTGATGTTTTTCTGCGGCTTGAGGTTTGTTGGAAGAGTCGGCGAAGGCCCATCTGGCGAACGAGACGAAACTCGCGACAAGAGCATTGCAAACCATGTGCAAATCTTGTAAACTGCCCGCAAGTATATAATTAACCCCAACTTGTTTAAACTAACAAACACATACAAAAATAATCAAGAATATAGGTGTTGTAGATTGGGAGACCCATGATAGAAATGAAGTGCTCAACGTTATCTTTGTGTTTTTTCATCCCCCGTGTTCCAAAGCTTGAAAAAGGACGTAGGTCTGAACGGACATGCAAGGCTTCTTTTCGAGGGCTCGTCCGGGCCTCGTCCTGGTGACGCAACGCCGGGACGATGCATCCGGCAGGGATCGTTGGTGACGGTGGTCGCGATTCTGATCTTAGATTTCCAAGCTGATGCAGGCGAAGGCCTAGCTTGGGGACTGATTTAACTGAAATCCTAGATTTTCCAAGCGTTCTGCATGTCGGAACTGATACAATTTCGACACACACACACACACACTTGAATCAATGAGGAAAACACTTGTCAATTCTGTTCTAGCGGCGATTTCAACTGATGGACAAGACACTGTACGGATCTGTACGGTGTGTAGTGCAGAGGGTGTTCAAAATGCCAGGGATACTTGTATGACTTTGTATGTATATTATAGTCTCCAGGCCCTATATATGCATAGTTTGTACATGTTTGTCACACTCATTTCATTGTGGTTTAAGTCTTGTTGCAAGATGCTCGAAGGTCTCTGAGGAAAAAGTGTTTTTCTTTTTCAGGCATGAACCTGGGCCATGCGGGGGTGAGCAGGTGGTGGGAGGGCTAATTACTATAACCTTCGTTTGTTTTGTGATCGATTCATTGTTCTCCACCCATCTCCACCCGATCATTGGGATAGCTAGATTATATATGCTAGATTGTAGAATATTGATGAATATTGTAGATATAGAGATAATTACAACCCACCCTAAGTATCATGACCGTCGTGACCTGCTGCGGGTAGAATGCCAACAGTGCCTGGCTAGTGACATACAATGACAAGCAGAATGACAACAGCCAAATAGGCTTGTATTTGAATAAGGGGACCTCTCAACCAATGGATGTTTGCTTGTTAAGATGTGAAACGAGACCCGGCTTTGTACCTGCAACCACAAGAATACATCTGCGGAGAATGGGCAGGAAAGGAGGAGAAGGGCGAAACAAACGCGGCAAGAAACGCCCTGGTCGCCTGTGAAGGATCAACAAGCCCCGATGGAGAGCCTGTTTGGACCTGAAGAGGATCAAGACGGAGACGAGACAAGACACCGGCCATTCATCGCTGAACCTCGCGTGCCAAGAAGTAGACCCTGAGTGTAGTGAATGGTGAAAGCCTTGTTGGTGACCAGAGGAAGCACGGAAAGATGGAGAAACTGGAAAGGCAGACGGAGAAGAAGAGAGAAGACCAAAAAACATCCAACACGTCGGATCTGGAAGACGTGAGGACCACCTACTGTACCTACTACCTACATCTACCTACCACCTCAGTTCGGACCGAACCCCACGGACCAAGATGGACCAGGAAACCACCGACCTGGCCCAAGAATGCTGGGCAACAGACTTAAGGAAAACCAGAAAACAGCTTGAAAAGTGTTTCAGCATCTTCCGCGGCTGCGCCCTATGGCTATGTCATGTGCCTTATGCGGCATAAGCGTGCCCAGTTGCGTGCCCAATTGTGTTGGTTCGCGCCATCTATGTGTCCGTGGGATGTAGTGATGATGAATGGTGATGCCTCATTATACATGGTCCACTGACTGTTCGATACTTGAGAGAAGAAACTCTCTGCGGCATGGGGGATTTCTGAAGAAACTCACATTGGCATGCTGTACCAGATTAGCCGAAGACATGTTTGCAAACGATCATCAAATGATCATATCCTTCGAATGATTTCTTCTTTGCAGGTCATTTCCAACTGCAATCAGCCTCAGAACTTCCGACCGAGGGTCCGGCAGTGTTTGAGGCGGGTCCGAGAGCACCGGACCTCGTGTGTTCGCTTCGATCGGGTTCGAGCGAACGGACGGAGATGAACACCCGACCCCACGCTGGAAAGGGACGGAGATCAACTTGAAATCTGCTCAAAAGGATTAAAAAGAAGGGTGCTGTGTCTAATTGGAATCCAATTGACTTCTAGAAGTCCCATTGAAGTCTAATTGGAGAAACCATCTCGATGTTTTCTCCAAGAAGTCTCATTGGAAACATCCCAAAGAACCATGTGTATGAGATGCTGCGGTTTTGAGCAGACGGTATATAAATTCAAGATGGTTTGGAGCAATTGAGTGGTTCATGAGTCGTAGGTTACCCAGCTTGGATCGCATCGCCACAAAAGCTCCACAGGTGGTCAGAGCTGTTGCATCAGTGGTTCATTGGTTCATGCGCAGGATATTTGACACATACTATCACATACTCCAACACTCCATAATTTATGTTTACCACATTGGGGTGGTGTGAGGGATCTATGTACAATAGGAATAATACCATACATGGAGTGTTTACGTTTGGGTACTGGCTGGATCAGTAAGCCCCCCAGCCCCTCTCCGAAGGGTTCATTTGCCACTCAGCACGGGGGTTCATTCCCAAACGGGTCACTCCCAGAATGTGCGGACATGTACTTTGCAGATTCTGCACTTTGCATCATGTTGAAGCAGCAAAGCCTTTCTAAATTGGAAAAACCGAAAGCATGAAGCCATGAGATTACGAGAGACCTTGGAGAAACATATTCAGTTGAAGTGCTACAAGAAAGGCCTCAGACAGAGGAAAAACAGTTGAAAACAGACGGTAGGTAAGGGTCCTTTGAGAGGGAGGTACCTGAGCTGAGGTATCGGTTGATTTTGGGAAGTCTTATTAAGGAAATATGGAAAGAAGAAGACTAACAATCCCGAACGAAAGGGAAACAGCGTTTCAGTTTACTGAAGTAGGAACCTGTTTTTTTTTGTTGGGCTCGGGTTAATGACGGGGAATGGTAGCTGATTATTGTGGGCGAACAATCACCATGCTCAGGTGCACTGATATAGTCACAGTGTTTATTGAAATTGAGGTGGTATTGGAACTACAGGTCACTCTGAAGTATTTGCATGGCACTCCCATTCGCTGTGGGTATCCTGATTCAAAGATCTCTCGAATCATTTGCTTTGGCGTTTTTTCAAGTGTGCAAGGCGTGGTGGAGAAGACATGGTATCACCAAAAAGCAAACTGCCAACAAATGTGATGGCACAGCCCAAAGGCTGGATCCAAATATATCCAAAGATCATTATCGAACGAAAACCAGATCTCTCAAGCCTTTGGATAGTGTTCCCTGGCTTCAGAAAACCTGGCTTGGACGGGGCAGGTGAATGTCCAGGGCTTCGGAAAGGTTGAGGCGTTGCGAGGCGACCTGCCCTAGACACGGGAGGGATGCGGCTCATGGGTTGGAATAGACCACCCACTTCTTCAACGTGTATACGTGCAAGCTTCAGATGGTTCGAGTCTGACATAATGGAGCACTCAGCTTTGCAGAGTGGCCCCAAAGCTATCTTCAACGGGTAAACAAACTGTATTTGGGGTGGCCCAGCCGTACTGGAGCTAGCATGAGCTATATGTCTAATGAGTCTAATTATATGTATATAGTTATATGGTATGAAATTATGAGAATGTTGTTGTGGTTGTGGTTGTGGTTGTTGTTGTTGTTGTTGTTGCTGTTGTTGTGTTTTTTGTGGGGGTCTTGGAAACGGACATCCTTTCACCCGTGTCTTTTAGTTGTTGATAGCTCTTGCACCAAACATTAGTTGCGCAAAATGTGTTTCACGAAGCAGAGTGCAGCCGTGTGCAGTCTCATAACTTATGTGTGTTTGTATTTGGATGGCATATCCCGAAAGATCTCCAACGGAGATGACTGTGTTAGGACTTCCTCTAAATTGCTCCTGTGAGATTCACTATGCAATGTCAATTGACTGTTAAGACATTGGAAGCGTTGGAAGGCTCTTACAGCAACTGGGGATCCAGTCGTACCTTCTCAGGTACGGTGATGTGTTCGACACTGTTATGTAGGTGCTCAGTCGTACCTTCATTTCGATTCGAAGGTGGCAGTGGACCCCTAGGGACAGTAACTCAGTAACCAGTTCTCAAAATCTACTGTATTGCCACGCATCTCATGTCGAGTCTCATGCGAGGAATGGAGAAGGAACCTGGGAGCATGTAGAATGATGATTCATAAATCCCCCGCGTTTGGATGTGGGGATGTTTTATTACTCAACAGTCTAGATTATCATGAAGATACAGGATCTAGAGGTGGGGGCAGCTGAATCCTGCGAGATGCAACACTTTGGTGTGTGTGTGTGTGTGTGTCACACCCTGGTTCTAAGGGTTTTCCACGTTCTCACCTTTCCACTGTA